CTTTGACTAATTGACTTCCGTTAGTCTCATGAATCCGTAGAACGTGTGGCATGTCGACAACTTCAATTTCAACACAAACAATCAAAATCTCTCTCTCCAAGACAATCGTAGAAGCCCACTACCGCAACAACTTATCATCAATTACGAAATTTTCATGCAAATTGCGCTCAAACTTCGAGTTCCTTTGGCAACCGAAAAACAAACTGTTATCGAAAATTTTTCCTAATCAACACGTCTACTAGCTCACAGAAATACGTACGAAACCAAGCTAAACACTTATTGGACCTATGAACCGTAGTAACAAGAACTAAAACAACAACAACTAGAACAAAACTTGAAAAATTCTAATTGGTAAAGGGGAACGAAACCTCCCGCGCCCTTCCGACGAATCTGTTATGTGGGTCCCGTAAGGGAAACGCACGAAATGTCCCACAGAGAGATTGAAGCATCGCCGAGTATGCGCGCACGCAATACCGCCAATGACACATGTGCGACAAACGCCAAAATCGGCGCGGGCGTCAATGTGTTAAATGGGCTTCTATCTCGCATAAAGATGCATGTTAAAGGATAAAGGATAAAGCATTTGCCGTTGATCAATCCTTTTTGGGATGCGGCACGCATTCTACTTCCATTTGTACATTCGTAGTGGCGTTTGAATGCGATGTGGCCTATACAATGACTTGCGGGGGCCAGCCGATGTACAAGTCAGTGTTTTTTATCCTCCCAGACAAGTCTGGTACCAATTAACCGACCCCGGAGGGATGGAAGGCTTGGTTGGCCCGGGATTTGATAACCCGGACCGCTCGCGTGGTAAGTTGCCACTTGCCACTACGGGACTTCCGCCCAGGTGCATGATTGTTCGGTATGAATGAGTGCTTTTTTCCCTCAAACCCACCTACATGGGCGGAATGGCAAATGCTTCATCCTTTTATCCTTCCACCCACCTAAATTCAAATTCTAAACGCCACGTGATGCGCACGCAAACATGACACATCCCCACAGGAGGCTGCGATGCGCTGCTAACTATGCCGAGTTAATGAAGAGTCGATCATGGTCTATTCTGAGTATAGAAAGCTACTTGAAGTGCATGAGAACTGATATGCGCTCGTCTACTCTATCTTATTATAGGGCGCATCCAAGTTGCGCGCACGGCGTCGGCACGCCGACGCAAAAGTGCTAAGCGTCGACTCTACCATCCCGCCTCAACTCTCATAGCGCCCGAAACAAGGAGGCTTAGTTGCTATGTTCGAGCCTATCCAACTATTTCATTGACCACGGCGTTTATAGGTTAATGTATGGTCTACGAATAAATACAAACAACTTGGGAAGAAGCCGCACATGCGCTAGAAAAAGGGGTGATAAGGCCGATGTCAGACTTTGCGAATCGCGCGATTCGCTAGCGTCCGCGGTCGCGTTGCGGTACCAGCCAATTGAGTGATTCACTGGCCGCGACGCGACCGCAGACGCTAGCGAATCGCGCGATTCGCAAAGTCTGACATCGGCTAAGGGGAGACGTGTAACCGCGTCTCACTGTCGCCAATGTTTAAAGGAATCCTTTACGGAAAAAATCATGATTCTATTTCAGCCATAAATCACTGGCTTGAGACCCATTATCCACGATAAGAATGAAAAGAACAGAAAATATTGCTTTTGTTTTGGTAAAAAAAAATTCGAAAATCGAAAGGGCTGCTACGCGTTCGAAGTGCCCACGGACGTCTTTCACAAATGCTGGCGACGGGGATGCTTCCACTTGGTTCTTGGAGTGCCTTCACTAGAAGCTCTTTCTGGCCTTCTGCTTTATTGCATTCACATCTTACACTTCTACTCCATCCTATTCTATCGATCGATTTGTCTCTACTCTCCGAAATCGCGCGCTTTAACCCGATTCTTTCATTGCGTCGCCTGATACGTAGCCGGCCAAAGGCCAACTTCTTTCCATGCCTCGCCTTTGGCTCCGCCCGAATTACCTTCGATTGTCCATAGAGTGTAGTTTTTGTACGTTTGTTTCTCTTCGGAAACCGAATCTTCATGCGTGAAACTTTGTGTGCTGTTTCCAGTGATCACAACTGACACATTCTTGTAAAGAAAGAATGCAAGAGTTTTCGCGAAGAATTCCTTTAATCACCTATTAGCGTAGCTTTAGAGACGGTGAAAAAGTATTTTGAGAAACAAGAGTCAGAAGATTCCAGTCTTTTTTCAAGCGAACTTATTTCAGCTTAATCAGTCTCCCATCTGCTTGCCCTGAAGCCGAACTGCACAACAGAGTTTATTAGTAGCTTATCGAATGTATTGCATGGTAGACAGTTCATTATCAGTGGATGTGGGAACGAGCTGATCTTGATACCAAAGATTAGTTTCATTAATATGGGTATGCACTGATCTATAAGTCGGCGCTTCTAGATTATGGGGTTAAGACGTCGTGTTCGTACTGACTATGTATCATCTAGCATATATTGAATCTCGAGTCTACGCTAGTGTTATGTTTTTGTTGTGGCCCGGTGTTTGAAGTGTTCAATTTGGTCATCTTGTGTATATTGCCTTTGGCATTCTCGCTTGTGCATATTTCTCCGTTCTTATGTTTGTTTAGAAACTCGCAACTAATCAATCGGAAATTCTGTTGTTGTCCTCCTCGCATTGCTCATTTCTCTTTCGTGCTTCCAATGTAACCGTAATATTTATTGTCCTCTTTTTTTTCTTCATACTAGGGAATTCTTTGGAATCTTTCAGGTTTCTAGATACTGTAGACGGGTTCTATTCGGTACAATGCTTTTAACAGCAATTGTGAAGTAGCGCATGACAAGCGCCAACTCCTAAACCTGGATGCTAGTGTGGTTTCTAATCAGGTGTCCTCAGATCCGCCGAGGTCAATTTCTGTTTAGGCATTTGTTATTTCCAGAGGTATGAGTGATCATGTTACCCGAACAGATTTCTATATACAGCTACTAAAGTGATTGGATTTGGTAAATGTTTCTTGTTGTACACACATGTTCTGCAAGCAATGTGAAAAGTGAAAGAGCGGGCTGTGATCAGCAGGATCAGGAGCACCTCCAGTAGGGTATGAGCTCTTCTAATCACCACATATTATTATTGTAGCTCTGCTTGTGTGATGCATGTCTTTCTCGATTCACGCGTACATTTTATAATTTTTGTCCGAATAATAAGATAATGGACATTTTCTACCATTGTTGAATTGTACGTGGTGAGGACCATAAGGTTCAGTCATACTGACGACTCAAACAGCATGACTGGACAGTAAAAGTTGTTAGTTACTTTTGAAGTTTAAAGCGGTTACGAGTGGGCTTGAGGCTTCTAACAGTAGTCTGACATTTGGGGGAGGCGGTCATATGGCGCGAGCCCATCGGCATTAGAGCGCACAGGCCGCAAATGCCCCATCCTGCTGCGGTCGGACAACTCGTCCGTATCACTCAACTACCAGACTTCTGTAATTGATCGATCTGATAATTTGGGTCTCAAAAATCTCGCTGAGTCCCAGGGATTTGAAAAAAAGGAGCGGATAGCCTCGCTGTCCCTGATGCCAAGGCTGAGAGGAACGGAACAGAATGTGTTGCGCGGACGAGTTGTCCGAGCCACAAGCAGATGTGGTAATTACGGCCTTTGGCGCTCCAATGCCAATGGGATCGCGCCATATGACGCACCCCTACATTTGGTGCTGAATGCTGGTACAGTCACGATCATTCAGCATGTAAGCGTTTTTCCCTGGATAACGACCATTGTCTATAGATAGCGATGATTATACCGTATGGTGAATGTCAGACTCGGCGATTGTGCGCGCAATCGCGACAGCGTCGTGGCCGTTTGTGACCAATGGTCGAGTTGGGCGTGTCGTTATTGATTCGTATGGTTTGCGTTGGGCCCTCTACGCTGTGGCGGTCGCGGTTGCACGATCGCTTAGTCTGACGTATGCACCTACAGTCCATATCTTGAAGTATGATATGGGAGAGGATGGGGGGGGGTGCGGACTTGACGTGGAACCTGCCGCACTTGAAATCCTTCGAGCGGTGTTTCCAGTTGATTCTGCTGACTCTAGTATATAACGGGAATTGCAGCAGTGTTTTACTACTCTCTGATACTATTCGATCATGCTGGACATCCTATAAGGGGTGAGTCAGGGTTAACAAAAAACTTTCGTGAACTTGTGGAAAATAGTAGGGTAAGCGAGTTCAGGGAGGAAGCTCTGAAATTGTCTGCGAACTGCTTCCTTATCGTCCTGTAAGTCATAACCCCTGCAAAGTATTGAAGGCCTACTGCGCGAAGCTCAAAATCGCGACTGTTTGATAGGTGATGCCACATAGGCTCAAATGCAACCAGTATACGATTGCTTCCGATACAAACGGCAGTATACTTTCGTCTTGAGCTAACCAGTCAAACCTTCAGGCCAACCTGATCATTTGAAGAAAGCTTGGGTGGCTAGAAATGTTGGTCCATGGATTGTGCAGTAGTGCGGTTTTCTTCTTGCTAAGGCAAAGTAGTGCAGGTAATATTTCGACAAACGAATTTTTTAAAATTCGAAACAATTATGACCTAAAGTCACAGCGAATCTGAGTTCAAAAGCCATACAAGGCCGCAAAGGGTGCCAGCTCTGCAGTGACCGCAACACACTCCCCTCCTATTTAATTAAATCTAGGGAACTTTGGCGTATGATCCAGAAAGCTTCCAAGGTTCGTAAATTTTGTGTGGTAATCAAAGAAGAATGAACATCGTATCAATAGAACCAAATGCGCAAAACTCATCGTCAGAACTCCATCTGTTTAATTTTGAACTTGTATGCGGTACGCTGTTGTTACCGTTATTTGTGGCCATCCTGTAGAAAGCGGCGGAGCTTACCCGCACGTGGTGGACCCTCCAGTGGTGGGTAGAGGAAGAAAGCGGTGGCCGATCCCAGCGATGGGAAATCCGCAAACGAGGAAGAACAAATTTTTTATTTATGCATGTATGTTCATTATTATTATCGTCTATTAATTAATACATATATTCAGATGTTAAAATGTCGTAGCAAAATAGCGCAGGCCTTGTTCAAAGATGTCCTGATGTAATTTTTCATAGTCAGGAATTTTTTGCAACAAAGCGGTTGTGACTCGTAATTGCTCCTCGTACTCAGCGGCTGCCACTTGTGCTTTTTCCTTACACTTTAGATCGGCTGGCGCTCTGCAATTGTTCCATAAAAGATTTCGATGATGACAAACCTATGTGTAAAATAAGAAGAAAAAGCGGCGCTATCACAGTATACGGGGCAACCTTCACAGCTAAGCCTAGGAGGTGGCAGGAGCTCCAGGGAAAATGAAAAACGTTTTCGCACCTTAAGGTCTCTTCTCCCCTCTCAGAGTCTTTCAGGTCATGGAGCGCTTTTCCGAAATGGTTCCTTGCATGTTGTAAAGGCTCATGCGAGGAACATGAAACTATGGTCCATTTTTCCTGAACACTTCTGGGAACCTCAAAACAGTGGTGAAGAAATGGTCCAAAGTTCAATCCGCCGTGGTGACAAATTTTTGCAATCCATGTTGGAGCCTCCAAATTGTCGCCAAATTACGAGGATGACATGTTAATCGACGCTGGTGCCATTTGGACACAATTTGGAGGCGCCAACATAAATTGCAAAAATTAGACATCACGGAGGATCGAACTTTGGACCATCTCTTCTCCACTATTCTGACCTTCCTAGAAGCGTTCAGGAAAAACGGACCATGGTTTTGTGTTCCTCGCATGAGTCTCTACAAAGTGCAGGAAATCATTTTGGAAAAGCGCTCCATGTCCTGAAAGACCTCCCTGTAGCTAGAACATGGTTACGCGGTTTTGAGTGCATTGCCACCACAGTACCCCCGTATGTTGCGATAGCGTCGAAAAGCTACATCTTTATGCGTTGCTACCCGGCTAGCATTTTGTTGCTTTCTGACGGCGGCGAGCACAGCGGTGGTCTAGAGCGCGCACTGCACTGTCATTTTTCTGATTTCGCTACATTCGCTACATTCGCCACATTTGGACCTGCGCCATTGTACTTTAGAGCAGGCACCCTCTTCCCTCCCCGCTCCCGAAGCTTCTCCATCTGGGTGAACTTGAATGTATTAACGCGGTCGCGATTCAAAAGGCAGGGGTTTTACGATAAATTGGCCGCCGGTCGGAAATCTAAATAGAGCCCCTAAGAGGTGTAATAATGAAGGAAAAATTCAGAGAGTTCGTCTAGGAATCGCAGAACGGGACCCTTATTTTTCAACTGATTTCCGGGTTGCTCCTCATCGGTGCTGATGCCATAATTAAGAACACCCTGCTCTGCTTCTCTGCCAAAGCAGCTGGAGCCCGACGGCGAAAGAATAGCCAATGGGCGGGCGCAGGTAGTTGCGCTGAGGATTTGCCGCCGTGATTGAGGCCCGATACCCCGTTAGGCGCACTGTTCACAACGAAACACGCCTTGTCCCGCTCTCTTTGGAGAATAGCCCTGTTCCTTTATAGCAAAATACATATTCGTCCTTAAAGCCGCAGAGTAGCAGGTTAGGCAGGCAGACCAGGCGAAGTTCTTCCAGGGTGCGATAGCGGCTACCCAAGATGAGCGCCGGCGACAACTATTGCGAACCCAAAAGTGCGCTGGGTTGGTATATGGCTCGCTAAGGGTCATTGCCCGCCGCGCAGAGACATAAGCGATAAAATACCAAACGACGGCATAAGATGAGGCTCTGATCAATCAAATAATAGACGTACGAACATATAAATATTGACGGCATGCCTCACAGAAGCATATATAATACCGGCGTTCTGAGCAGGCAGGCCATACAAAGGGAAATTACAGAACAATATATAACGGAAAGTGCTTTTTTTTGCTTTTCTCCTAACAACAAATATTATATATATGCCTACCTTATCTACACATAATGAAATTGAAACATAAAAAGCAATAAACAATAGTCTAACCTTTATATATATATTCGAAACCAAATACATATATAAGATTACACCTCATATACGAAGTTATACGAAAAATAAATCACAAAACGTTGATGAAAATTCTAATAACTCGATGAAAATTTAAAAAAAGGATCGGAACGATTTTTTGTTTTGTTCATTAATTCATTTACTCAAAGAGAAGACCATGCACGCAACCATCTATAAAGGATTTGCTTGGAGCGACAACAATATACAAATGGGTAAATTTTCCCCTCAAATGACAAGATTGAGAAAAAAGGAGAGAGCCACCGGGTAATGTAAGCCAGGGTGAACTATGTGCTCAAGAAATCTCTAGCATAATCTCCCCTTCTTCTCTCGATTTACTTTTCAAGCCCTTCCACCAAGCTAATCCGCTGACCGCAGATTTCGTCTAGTACGATCACCCAGTAGGAAAAATTTGTGGTTAATCATAATGTTGGCACATACTGTAGAGAGTGCCGCCTGTTGGATCTTATCGGCTGTGTAGGTAAAAATGCCATTGAAAGAAATAATTAAGTAATTGAAGAAGCCAGATACCTCTGCGCTGCTCGAGCAGCCCCTTCTTTGTTGTTGCGTTTCCTTCTCAACGATTGACAAGCGTCTCTGATTTCTTTCAGCTCTTTATTTTCAAACGCTTTAAAGCGATCGTCGAAGTTTTTTGAAATCTGATAAAGAGAACATGTTCTCTCAGCACTACTGTAGAGGGTATAGAAGAGAGGAGGCTGGAAACGGAAGGATCTTATGTGGGATGGCGCTCGGGTTTGGGTGCATTGGAACAGAGAGCTATTTCCCTTTTTGCGCTATGGGAACCTCAGCTCCACTCATGATCAAGGGCCGTATTTTATGCTTTCCCCAAAGCGAGTGAGCGAGTTTCCCGCCGCTACTCCATTCCGAAGTTGGGGGACAGGGTTGGTTGCGTCATAGGATCCGCCATTGAGCGTATGATGTCGTGGTGTCCCCCAAGAGGCCCGTCGCGCGGCGAAGGAAGAGACGCAGACGCGGCAAAGGACGAGTCGCAGCGCATACTGTAGCGGTTAGGCGTCAGGTTAAATAGAGTGTACCATACTACGTCTCATATCGCACAGCACGCGCTGCGACTCGTCCTTTGCCGCGTCTGCGTCTCTTCCCTTGGGATGTCGTAGGTACCCTCTGCTGTTGAGGCACTCTTTTCTCTAATGGGTCCCGCTGGCTGGATCTAGAAAGCGATTTCGGGTTACTTGGACATTGTTCTATTGTCCTGCCACGAATGGCGGAGAGTACAGACGATGAGAGTGGCGCCTGGCTCGGCTCCAAATCCCTAGGGGAAGGTGAGAAGCCCTAGGACTAAGCCTTGGAGGGAGGAGGGACTCCGGGGTGGGTGAGCCAATTACACTGTGGCAAAAGTTTGAATGTGTGAGATCACAGTAATCATAAGCCGCTGTTCAAGCGAGAGAGCGCAGGCGGAAGCCCCAAATTGAGGCAGTTTAAAGGACCGAGTTCAAGTAGTCCGCTGACCCCACATGGCGCGTCCTATGACGCCCTGTCCCCTCCAACCTTAGGATAGGATCGACGGCGGGGGGCCTGTCCCCCGGTGGGAGGGTAGGGTACGGCCC